GAGGCCCGGGGGTTGGGGACCGCTGATCTAAACTAAGGGTTGACCTTTTTTGCAGCCAGTGCGGACATGTTCTTAAGACTCCAACATAATATAAACACTACTTTTGATAGCTTGGGTATATTTCACATATTTCTCACCAGCTATTAAGCTGAGCCAAGCCATGTAGCAGCAGGAACCTTGCTGCAAACTCACAGAAGTGAGTGATTTCATGACAGAGTGCATGGTGTGCTATGGCCAAAAGATAATGAGGGAAAGAGTAATGGACTCATTTCACTTGTGTTATTGATGTAATTCAGTCACAGGCACTATGTGGTCCCTGCACCCCAATTAGAGAACTCACCTCGTGCATGATGGGATTGGTCAAACCTCTGTATAGCCCTGAACACGACAAACAGCTAAACTGGAATTACCATGATTCAGACAGCTGTTATGTTTACCATGGACATCAAAGTAAATTTCTATTTTTTTTTTTATGCTGAAGATATCATATCCATTTAGCATTAAAACGAAATGTTTGCAATAAAAAAAAAATCCATAGTACTGTTAATGTGCCCTCACCATGTTCTTGTGTGGACGTGGTAGCGGTACATGTGGTCCACCAGGCCGTATTTGTTGTTATTTAGTGCCTTGTATCCCCCGTGGACAAACACACAGCCACTGGCTTCATCATACACGCTGCTGTGACCGTAACCTCCCTGGACCACTGCACCTCCGGAAGACACAACCTGCCACGAGTTAGACCCTGAGACACAAACAAACAGGGAGGGGGGGGAGAGAGAGGGGCTGATTAATGGAGTGCACCCCTGTGGAAAAATCAAAGTTGATCACTTAAAATGTTTTTTTATGCTTTGGCAAGTTTGGCTTTTCACTGTGCTTGCCAAAAAGCAAAGCAGTTTTTATTCCAGAGGTGATGTAAAGCAAAGAGAGGAGAGAGCGAGCCAAGCAGGGAGAGAGGCCACAGAAAATTAGAGTTTCTTCAGTTTAAAAGCGGCCTTTCAAAGAGCCAAGATCGATTCAGGTGCATAAAAAATGATTTTTAAAAAAATGGGCAGGGGTTACGTCATCAGATGAACCCCAATAAATAAAAGAAAGTAAACAAACAAAGCCTAAGAAGAATTTTTTGAGACCAAGTGTAGTATCAAAATAGAGACAGAAAAGGGAGGAGAGAGTGCATTTGAACTGAAACTGCTCATGATTCTTCTTTCAAAATCTGAGAATGACGATTTCAAAAAAGAAGAAACACAAATCTGAACACTTCACAAACTTTGTACAAAAAGGAAAATGGAAACACTTTAAAATTACAAATCACAACAACTGCATTCCTTCATAGTAACAACACAGCGAGAGCCGTAAAATACAACTCAGAAAAAGCAGATCTATTTGGTATTGTGGATGCTCATTACACCAAAGCTAAATTTGTTTCAAAGTTCTAAGATATTTGGAGGCAAAATAAAATAAAAATAAAACAAAAATAATAGAAAATAAAACGCCTCATTTTTACGCTCCATGCAATATTTCATGTCACTAACTTTGTGCCTTTTTCATGTCACAGATCATGCTTTGCCTTCTCTGTACCTTCCTGCAGGCATCGCTGAATGTTTCAGGTCAGCGGTTACCAGCCCACCAACATGCCCTCTGTTTATTGTTATATTGTTTGTTGTCTGTCTGTTTATGCTCTTTTTTCAGTCTTTGCTTTTCCCTCATTCCATCAGGTTACACCAGACATGCCCAAAGTGAATTGACCATTTCTCTGCAATTACAAACTGTGTGGTATCAAACTAAAGTTAACACTTGTGAGACTTTATCAGAGGTGTAAGCATCACAGCAGATGCCACTGTGTCAAAGTAACTGAGGATACAACACAGCAAACTATGAAGAAGTTTTTCCTGGCCTGGCCTCTTATAGCACATAACCCCCTTGAAAATATGCTGCAGTAGATCAAAAACGGAAGAAAACAATATAATTACCTGTGAATAGATCGATGCTACTTAAGTGAAACTGAGCAAAGTTAAAGTTAAAGTTATGCATTGTTTGTTTTGCAAGTGTTGATGTGGAAGAATACAAGAGGAATTGTCTTTGTGGATCTAGAGAAGGCATTGATGTACGTGAGGCTGGTGTAGGACACGTATGAGCACAGTGAGACAGTGGTGAGGTGTGCAGTTAGAGTGAAAGATGGGTTCAAGTGGGGGTGGGATTACATCAGTGCTTTGAGCCCTTTCTTGTTTGCAGTGGTGATGGACAGATTGACAGATGAGGTCAGGCAGGCGTCTCTGTGGACGATGATGTTTGCAGATGACATTGTGATCTGTGGGCAGCAGGCACAGGAGAGTCCAGAGAGGTAAAGACATGCACTTGAGAGAAGAGGAATGAAGGTAAGTAGAAGCAAGACAGAATGCATGTGTATGAGAGGTAGACGGGTGGAACAGTGAAGCTGCGAGGACCAGAGGCCACGAAGGCAGATGTGCAGAGGAGGGATAGTGAATATATTGGAAAACAGGATTTTGAATATGGAGTTGCCAGGAAGACGATTGTAGTGAAAGACATGCTAAGAGTTAGTGAGACAGAGTGGATGCTAGAGATAAGGTCCTGATGGTAGCAGCCAGAAGAACAAAATTGCTGTATTTTTGTTGTATATTTTATAAATGATATAAAACAAAACTAGCATACAGAAAAAGCAAACCAAGTAAGGAAGTATATAGAGAGAAACGGAGAGAAAAACTAATAGTTTAGCAGGATGAAGTTTGTTTCATCTTTTAGACCAGAGCTTCTCGTCTTATATATCAATATTGACATCATTGAAATGATTTAGCGGCCTGTCGATCTGATTTCTCTTTGCTAATGACAGCATTTTGCCCCAAAAAAGCTTCACTGAACTGTACTCAATTGAGAAAGGAAAAATGACAGGAGAAAAGAAAGCCGGCGAGCAACTGACAGCCGACCACACACCTGGAGTGGGAAAAAATAGCATAAAAGAACAAGAGAAACAGGGGTAGGAGGAAAGGCAGCACTGAAGTGACGACAAGAAAGGAGAAGGTCAACTCTTATCACATCTCTCACAGCTAATTGCTGTGAACCCGCTTCTCCGAGTGGTCATTAAATCCTTTTACCTCATATTTTACACTTCGCTTCGACTCCCCCTCTGTTCATTTCCACACTACGCTGACTCCTTCTTGCTCCCTCTGAAGCCTAATGATGCTCAGTGCAGACTTACGTTGTGACACTGTCAGAGAAAGAGGAAGGAGGGAATCGATGGAGGTGGGTGAAGATGAAAGTGATAGACGTTTGAGTGCAGATAAGGAAGGAAGAAGGTGAGGCAGAGGAGCACACAGTGATGTGGACAGAGGGGGTCAGAAGCTGAGGCGGGCAAGTGAAAAGAAAAATACAGAGGGAGATTTAAAAAAAGAAAGAAAGCGTGTGAGGAGCAGATGAAAGAGTGCAGAGGGAGGGATGGGAGAGGGGGAGAAAAAAATCAAGATGACAAGGAGGTACAGGAGTGAGGGGATGCAGCGGATTCATTAATCACCGTCTTCTCCCAGACAATCCAGCCTAGGTGCCACCTCTTCTTAATGACCACGCTCTGTGCACTGGTGTGTGTGAAGATTGTGTGGCTGCACACACCTCTGCTTTTCAGCCTGTGCTGTGCATCTTGTGGGAAGTGTGTAAATATGTGTATGCTTGTGTTTTCCTGTCCAGAATTATTCAAACATTTGGTTCTAGCGCCATCAGCTGGTGTACAACATTACAATACCGCCATCTTCTATACAGCCATAAAGACACAGAGTCAGATATACACTGATGATAAATGTGATATCAACGTTATTTTAAAAGCATGTGAAACAGATGCTACACAGACAAAACTATAGCAGTAAACTTGGTTTAGAGAAGATTTTTTCAACCTGAAAAACTAGAACCATCCACCTATTTCCTCAGCCAACCAGGGTTACGGTGTGGCTTTAGTCCACACAGTTAACTGTGCAAGCTCACGTTCATCTATCAGTAATCAGTCATACATGGACTGTTAGAGTAAACTCCTCATAAAACCTTTCTGCTATCAGGGAGCAGCACTTAGCCTGCAACTGTGCACAACTGCACTCTTCAAGAAAAGTCTTCTAATGTAGTCGGTGTTTTAAATTTTAAACCAGAGAAGCTTGGGGAGGTATGGCTCACAGACGCAAAGCAGAGACTAAGAGGTTTCAGTGCCTGTGCGTGTTGTACTTCTCAGTTTTTAGATCGTCTGGCTTGATGTTTTTCTCCAGTCGTTTTAGTCTTTAGGCCAC